TACCACCAATAACAAATAAAATAACAAAACGCGGAATCCTATCAGACATTCAAAAGCTATTCGATCCACTAGGTTGGATAGCACCAAGTACAGTTAAGGCAAAATTACTCATACAAAACCTGTGGCTAGAAAAAGTCGGTTGGGATGAAAAAGTAAGTGAGACATTGGAAGAAGAATGGCGGCAAATTAGATCGGACTTTACAAATGTGAACACGATAAAGATACAAAGATGGCTAGGTACAAATGCAACAAAGGAAGGAAAAATACAACTACATGGATTCAGCGATGCTTCGATGAAAGCGTACGCTGCCGTAGTTTATATAAGAACCGAAAATACAGATAACAAGATTGAAACAAGAATGGTAGCTGCCAGAACTAGAGTAGCACCATTAAAAACAATTTCCTTACCTCGCCTCGAGTTGTGTGGTGCACTGTTGTTATCAAAAGTCATGAAACAAATTGGTCAAGCCATGAGAATACCAACAAAGGATATGTTTGCTTGGACAGATTCTTCTATTGTCATCGCATGGTTGTGTGGTGAACCCAATCGTTGGAAGTCCTTCGTCGCAAACCGCGTCGTAGAAATTGTGGAGAACCTAAATAACAAACATTGGTATCATGTCCTGTCAAATGATAATCCTGCTGACATCGCATCACGAGGGTTGTTGCTCTCCGACCTGCAGCATTGTGACTTGTGGTGGAAGGGTCCCAGCTGGTTATCTGAAAAGGAAATTAAGATTAATAAACAAGATATAATATCAACAGAATTAGAAAAAAGAAAAATAAAAATAAATACTTACCTTAACACCGAAGAACAAGAAAAGTCTATAACTACACAATTTGAATTATTTACCAATTTAACCGAACTTTTAAAAGCGATTACTTACTGTCGAAGGTTACTCAACCATAAAAGGAATTTAAGCAAAATAGATGATACGGTCACTACACAAGAAATTAACGATTCACTGATGATTTGTGTGAGAAAGGTACAAGAAGAAGAATATAAAGATGAAATTCAAAGATTAAAAGATCATAAACATGTAAGGAAAATAAGCAAAATTCGATTCCTCAACCCTTTCCTAGACGAACATAACATCCTCAGGGTGGGCGGTCGGCTCAGACATACTAACTTACCTGAGAATAGAAAGAATCCAATAATTTTGGGTGATAAAAACGCGTTGACACCTTTAATTATTGCTGACGCTCACAAGAAAACCCTTCACGGTGGAAGTCAATTGATGATGTGTTACCTACGCTATACTTATTGGATATTAAAGGCTAAATCTATGGTAAAGAGATACATCCGTAAGTGTTTCATATGTGCTAAACTTAATGCTACAACCAGAACTCAAATAATGGGTGACCTACCAGCAGAGAGAGTCACTCCTTCCAGACCGTTCCTAAAAAGTGGTGTGGATTTTGCGGGGCCGATCCAAATTTTGATGTCCAAGGGCAGAGGAAACAAAACGCAAAAAGCGTATATTGCAATTTTTATTTGCTTGTCAACTAAAGCGATACATATTGAATTAGTCGGAGAATTAACGTCAGCTGCCTTTATTGGAGCCTTTAGGCGGTTTGTGGCACGCAGAGGCAAATGCAGTCACCTGTGGAGTGATCAGGGAAGGAACTTCATTGGCGCGGATAAAGAATTGCGGGATGCTTTAAATGATGCTAAGCTACAGTTTAAGGAAGATATAGCAGAAACTTTAGTGACGGAACGAACACAGTGGCATTTTATACCTGCCTATAGTCCTAATTTCGGTGGATTATGGGAAGCCGGCGTGAAGTCGATCAAATATCATCTGAAAAGAATTTTAAGTACTAACCTGACATATGAAGAAATGACAACGATACTTTGCCAAATTGAGGCCTGCTTGAATTCTCGGCCACTATGTCCACTGGATGATACAGACCCCGGAGATTTGAATCCACTTACCCCGGGTCATTTCCTGATAGGAGAAGCACCAATCATCGTTCCATCACCTAGCATGAAAGATATAAAAGCATCTAACTTGTCACGCTGGCAACATACACAAAAACTCCTCAACGACTTTTGGCGACGGTGGCAAGACGATTACCTGTCGAAATTACAGCAGCGAAACAAGTGGCTTAAAAGAGAGGAGGAGTTCCAGATTGGTGATGTTGTTTTGATTAAAACAGATAACTTACCACCGGGAAAATGGTCACTGGGACGAATCGTCGGCAAACATCCCGGCTCAGACAATATAACCCGGGTTTATAGTGTAAAAAGTGGCAGCTTGATAACAAAGAGAACTATAACTAAATTATGTGCTTTACCCATAAATTAAAATAAATTATAAATTTAACAAAAAGCTTTATAAAAAATTTAACTTTAGAAAATGTTCACAGTTTAAGTAGTCTAACTGATCACAATGTTGTTTACGCTTCAAACATAATGAATAGTATCGCCTACCTGCAATTTGTTTTTTTAAAATCTAACTTTAGTTTTACATACACTTCGCTTACCTTCTTCATATTATTTTGTATAATTGTTTATTTAAATCATTGTCTTATAACATACTTTATGTATATTGAGGTTTAAATCATTACGTTTGTAATTAATACTTAGTACATAATGTATTTTTGTGATGTTTATACAAATTTAAAGTGTTTGGAAAAGGACCTTAAGTCCTTTTGGTGGGCGGTATGTTGACGCTAAAATTAGTTTTTTTGTCGTGTAGTTAACTATCATATTGGTGTGTACTTGAGTGAGTCAGTCGCGCAATAAACTAGCAAGCTGCAACACGTCTTTTTTATTCAAATAATCCCGTGCACTACATACAGTCCATTTTCAACTCTAATACACCAACAGGTAGTTTCATGATTTTTTTCTATCGAGAATATGTTTTGGAAACAATGTTCCATTAGAATGTACGATCAAGATTACCATATATTTTTTTTGCTGCTATAAAATGTAGATTTTGCTAAAAATCTTTTGAAAAACCTATTTTTACTGCATACAGCGCCTTAAGCGATAACCGGGCACTTGCAGTACACCAACGTAGTTGTAAAATTTAAGTCAAGTTCATTCAATCCAATAAAGTACTCAAGATTATAAAAGAGTGGGTTAACAGCGTAAGTGACAACAGCAGCAGAAAAACGACAAATTCCCACCGCGCTAGTAGAACTGTCATGCGGCAGATATGCGGTATAACCGTCCCGTAATGTCCAAGTTAAAGTTGATTGGTCAATGTTGTTTGGTCACTTTTTTCAAGTGCAAAAAACTAATGACAGTATACTCAAAACAAACAGAACATAACACGTTAAGACGGCAACATAGCAACTGCTAGTCCCTTCCACCTTATCACATAGCACGTTGTGTTATTTTAAGCTAAACAACAATGTAGAAAGAAGGTGTTAAGATTTTCGTCGTTGTGGCTATCAGCCGTTTAGCTCAGTGGTTAGAGCGTCAGGCCGCGAATGCCGAAGACGTGGGTTCGATTCCCACAGCGGCAACAATCTTTTCGTACTTTTTCTACACGTTTTAATATTATTTTAAGTTGTTAATATTATTACAGTTACTGTTTTTAACAATAACAAAAAAAAATAATTCCCCTATTCACCATCGACATTAAGAGACCACCTAAAAAATTTAAGAGCTAGTTTCGTTTCCATCACTGCTTATGCGTCACCTTTTATCTTTTGTAAGCGCATGCGTATTCGTCTGTCAACTTTTGATGATATTGCGTCATACTTATTTAGCAATTAAAGTTTTAAGAAAAGTAATATTAATTTAACAATGTAATTTTATCTATCATAGATGAAAAATAAAAATTTACAGCATTAATGTGTATTTATTTTCGTGTGAAAACTAAAAATAGGACCTACCGATTACACCTAGCTAGGTGTCCCCTGAATAAGTAGTTCCTAAATTGGTGAAAATGATTTTAGGTGACGGGCTGATTTATGAGCATAGTGTTACACAGCTGAACTACTGGGATGCTGCACCGACAAGAGCCTAGCTCTTAAATAAGAGAGCTGATTTAGGGAGTTCCATAGTTCAGTGCTCCCTTAGTGAGGGAGCGTTTGACGGTACAACGGTGAAAACGGGCGAAATTGCCTTATGTCAAATGAGACGGTCCCTTCCGCCATCACAACACACATTTTATTATTGTAATTTGTTAATATTATAACAATGTTTCACTGTTTTAACACTTTTTTTTTTGTAATATTTCTTCTCTTTCTCTATGTAAACATTTTTTCTCTCTCTCTGTTTTTATTTTTGTAATTTTAGTGTTTAAGTTTTGTACCGTTATCGGGACTTATAAGGTGACGGAATAAATGTCTTAAATGATGTACGAAGCGGGGTGGGCACCTTCGCCGTGGTAGTGGAGGTTTTGTACCATTATCGGGACTTATAAGGTGACGGAATAAATGTCTTAAAATGATGTACGAAGCGGGGTGGGCACCTTCGCCGTGGTAGTTGGGGTTTTGTACCATTATCGGGACTTATAAGGTGACGGAATAAATGTCTTAAATGATGTACGAAGCGGGGTGGGCACCTTCGCCGTGGTATTGGGGTTTTGTACCATTATCGGGACTTATAAGGTGACGGAATAAATGTCTTAAATGATGTACTTAAATGATGTACGAAGCCGGGTGGGCACCTTCGCCGTGGTATTGGAGGTTTTGTACCATTATCGGGACTTATAAGGCGACGGAATAAATGTCTTAAATGATGTACGAAGCGGGGTGGGCACCTTCGCCGTGGTAGTTGGGGTTTTGTACCATTATCGGGACTTATAAGGTGACGGAATAAATTTATTAAATGATGTACCAAGCGGGGTGAGCACCTTCACCGTGGTAGTGGAGGTTTTGTACCATTATCGGGACTTATAAGGTGACGGAATAAATGTCTTAAATGATGTACGAAGCGGGGTGGGCACCTTCGCCGTGGTATTGGAGGTTTTGTACCATTATCGGGACTTATAAGGCGACGGAATAAATGTCTTAAATGATGTACGAAGCGGGGTGGGCACCTTCGCCGTGGTAGTGGTGGTGCGGGTTGTCCGGGGGCAGGGCGGCGCGCAGCAGCTCCACCCGGTCGGCGAGGTCCCGGGCGCGAGCGTCCGCCTCGCCCAGCGCCGAGGTCAGCTCCGCGCGCTCGCGGGCCCACTGGCGGCGGGACTGCTCTATCTCCTCCTGCGCAACTCTTCTCATTGAAATTCGTAGAAGAGAAACCGGCCAAGGGCGACGCGGGCCCACTGGCGGCGCCACTGCTCTTCTCATTGAAATTCGTAGAACCGGCCGGGTGCGAGTCGGACTCGCGCACGAAAGGTTCCGTGCCGTTATAGCTAAGCTTTAATTGAGCCACTTGAATGTCTTTTATTTTGTACTTGTTGTTGTAGCGGCAGCAGATATACATCATCTGTGAAAATTTCAACTGTCTAACTGTTACGGTTCACGAGATGCAGCCTGGAGACAGATAGATAGGCAGACAAACAGCGGAGTCTTAGTAATAGGGTCTCGTTTTACCCTTTGGGTACGGAACTCCTTTATTAAAAACTAGCGACCCGCCCCGGATACACAGGGGACAATGAGTTATACATATAAACCTTCCTCTTGAATCACTATCTAGTAAAAAAAAACCCGCATCAAGATCCGTTGCACAGTTTTAAAGATCTAAGTATACATAGGGACAGACAGACAGCGGGGCGACTTTGTTTCATAAATGTAGTGATAGCTCATGGAAAGCGATCGGTAACGATGACGCGAGTTCCATAATTTTTGTGGACCCCGGCCACCTCACGCAGACGAAACGCAGAAGTATAATACTTCCACTTCAAGCCGATCTTATGTAAGGTCGTGGCTTACCCGGACGGACCTCCTCATTCGTGCAACAGTCAAAGCTATTGCGTGGCCCGACCACCGTTAAACGAGAGAAACGATTCATGAAAAAAGTTTTACAGCCAAAACTTTGTACTTTCAAATATAACATGCACATAACATACGCGTACAAGCAGGTTTGCCTACATATAGAAACTTTGAGCGTAAAGGAAGACGTACATGCGTAGAAGCACTTAGAGACGACATAGAGATTTAGACACCCTGATACAGCAATCGCGATTCATCAACATACGCACCGTTAGAGCATCCAGTCGATCCTGTGCGGTCTCGACGGCCGCCAGCCTGGCCTTCAGTTCGGCGAGATGCCTCACGGCAGTGTCGCGTTCAGTGGTCGCCTTTGCGGCCTCAGACTGCGCTATACGGGCAACCGCTTGCGCTGCGGCCGCCTCTTCCCCTAACGAAAGTCAACCGTAGACAAAAGTAAAGTAACAGCCTATATATACATACGTATTTCACTGCCGGGCAAAGGCCTCCTCTGAACAGAGGGTGTTAGGGAATAGTCCACCACGCGACCACAAAGCGGATTGGCGGATTGCACATATCTTCGAAATATTATTTGTTATTATTGCGAAATTATGCCCGTATCCCTTCACGATGTTTTCCTTCACCGCTGAGCACGTGATAAAACCCCATCCACTCTTATAATTAACCATTTCATTGGTGCCGAGATTGGTTCTCGGGTTGTAAGAGTATATTGAATTAAAGTGAGCGCCAAGTCATCGAGCTATCAAGGCTCTACTGTATATCTTAGGTGATATTTACTGATATTTACTATAAATATATTCACCTCAAGACGCGAATATATTCACGGTTTCAACTGGAGTTGCCAAACTGTACTTATGTGCGCATATATGTATAATACATGCAGCTACGTCTTTGTGACATTGCCTTAAAGAACAAACTTTAAGTAAGACTTACTTTTAAAGCGTAGTTAAGCGCTTTTCTTATATGATCGGGCAAGGATACATTTTGGAAAAGAGTGACCTTAGACGGAAATGGAAAAAAAATTTTAAGGCGAAAAAGTGAAAGTAAGGTGGGGACGACTTTACGTAAGATATTTAACTTGAACTCTACTGTTCATGGCATTTTTTATAAGCAGGCAATTTTATTACCAGACTATACGGTATTATTATAATATTCCAATATTCAAAAGACAAGTAGTATACATAGGTCCTACGCCCAGTTTCAAAACTCAATCTACAGATTGATTAGGTTACTGGAGATAAAATTTTGACGTAAGTATTATGGAGCTAACCTCAAAAACCTATCGCTAGTAACTAAATCTATCTGTAGATTGAATATTGAAACCGGCCGTTAGTTGGCATCTTCAAGTCGGTTGCTCCTGCATCTCCTTGCATTTTACAAAATACAAATAAATACTTCAAAAATTATAGTGATGAAGTTCTTTAATAAGTTCCAAATTTGAATTCAGAGATTCAATCCTGTTACGATCATCAATATAAGACTACAGCTCATCGAAATACATATGATACGATAAATTAATTTAACATATAATAATGTTTTAAAAATTTAGAAAATAATAGGAGAACTTGGCGAACGCTAGATTTGAAGTCAACCCAAGATGAGGTCTTATGGCCTATGTTCATTGATTAAGTTTATTCTACCAAATATTTGTTACAATTGACACTGAACTGCTAAGCGATAGCTTTAACATGACGACATCAGAGGAGATTTGCACCTTTTCCGAACTTTTTTGCACCCCATCCATTCTCCATCAATTGTAAAATTCTGTCACAGCAGTTTTATAAAATATTGTGCTTTAATTTTTTTACAATTATCCCGCGATGCTCCTTGTACCATAGTCGACGTTTGCTCCACACATGATGATCGGCATTGCATTATGCACAACCATTATCTCTTTCGTGTTACGAAAATTCCATATGCTTGTGTTAGGTACAACGAAATATTTATCACCTTGGATTGAAGCGAGGGAATGTTTCAATTCCTCAACCTTCTGCTCCCAATGAGCGTCCCTCTCGCGTAGCTTAGCCTCAAGTTGCGACGTGTATTGTTGCTGCAGTGCCACGTTGTCTACTTCGCATCCAGTCCGATCCGATAGATATGTTTGTAGTTGAGGCGATATCGACTGCAAACATCGGTTTGGTTTACATTAAAATAATAATTAGTCTAAAAATAGTAACAAAAACTTGAGCGTAATATAGATGACAGAAAACGTGGCGTTATAATTTGGCGATGTATCAATCTGATATTCTCTTCTTGTTAAGTTGTATTAATATGTTATTGGGATAAAGTAAGATGACATCCCTGTAACCCATAAGTCTGGAAGACTTATTATTAAATTATTATTTTTTAAACACCGAAACTAGGATATAAACTAAAACTCAACTGAAGTATTTTCTGGCGAAATCCAATTTTATCAAGGCTAAATTTTTTTCTACCAGCTAGCACGGAAAGCGCAGGTACAACAATTTTGCCTTCACGGTCTAATGGGTTTCAATCTATTTGTCAGTGCCTTACAAAAAGTGTTTATTCATTAAAATATATGTACATATAAACACATATATATATATATATATATATATGTGTTTATAATAATTCATTTGCATTAGTGAATAAAAATATTATAATAATACATTTCCATCCCCTGGTGCATAATCAAGAAGACATTTCCTGTGTATGGGACATTTTTGAGCAGATAAGGACTAACAATGGTGTCATTGCATATATGCATAGAATGTCATCACATTTTGTAAATGCGAGACAGTATTGTTTGCACATAACCAATAAGAAAATATCTATTTAATCTAGAAATATTCTCTATCAAATTTCATAACAAATTAATTATATAATGTGGTTATTTGTAGGTGAACGGTCAAATATTTTCGGCACTGTGGGATTCGAACCTGCGTCTTAAAGGTAGTGCGCCCAGACAAACCACAAACCAACCAACCAACCAAGCTAAGCTGATGAACTCGTAGAGCGAAAATCTCGACATTGATCTACTTACTTCTTTGCATTTAGCGATGCCTGACCCATCTAGTGTGCAAATATTATACTATTAAACACATTAGAAATAAAATTTAACAATAAATATTTTAAAAAAAAATTGTTAAACTAAAATATATGCAAAAACTCATATTTTAAATTTCATCTTGAGTGCAGAGACTAGTGCTAATATAAAAATAATCAAATTAATCATCTTATCCTCGGAGGCCCATCTGTTTCTCTTCAGGAAATCTGTTGAAATGCGTGGATGACGTAACTGATGTGTTGCATCAAGCAATGGAGTATTTTATCCGTTTTGCTGATCTATCTATTGGTGAAAAAGCTCGCAGAAGGTTGAACCAAGGTGGTGTAGTGTATAGTTCCTGATTTTAACACTAAAAAGAGAGCCTTTACAGAAAGCTGGTTGCACTCTGCATTATGGCACAAAGCTGCCCAATCATTTGGCAACAAAGCTTTCTGATTTCTAGCTAAAGCATTCGATTCCAGATACTACCAGCCTTCTTTCTAATAATGCAACAAATAAAGTAGATAATTATTGAGATATTTGCGCCATGAGTTCATTGGCCGTTTGGCTTAGTTGGTATACCGTCTGGGCACAGAAGAAATATGAGAAATTATCATCTACTATGTGAATAAAACTTAAATACAAATGAATTGCTACTTACATCAGAGGTAGAATCGCCTTGTCCACTAGAACTAGTTGGACTTGTTGTGGTCTGTAAAAAGTGAAAAGTTACTAATTAATAGTAAAACATTTTTATTGTTCTTTGGTTTTGCTAATAGGTATAACTAATGTAACACATCCTGCCTTACATTAGTTTATTATGTTATACCACATGATAATTGTTAAGTACCTGAGAAATATTTCTATTTTTGCATACATGGAAATTTTTTATCCGTTTTTTATATTCATTACAATACTATATTTTAAATATATATTTATTATCATGAATCTTTCAGGGCCTGGGCAACCCAAATTATTTATTTATTTATTTTTAAACTTCATGCACAAAACAGTACATAGGCGGACTTAATGCTGACAGCATTTTCTACCAGTCAACCTTAGGGTGGTACTGAGAAGTTGAGGTAGGTGCACAAGCACAGTTATAAACTAAAAAGACAAAAATACATAATTATTAAATATAAAAATATAACACATAATATAATTCTAGCATACAATACTGTTAAACGATACAATAAGTATTACCTTACATATACATATATACTTTAATATACATATATAAATAAACATATATATTATATATATATATACATACACATTTATATCTGATGACGTCATGAAACTGCTGGCAATTACTGTTATGTGTACTATTAAAACTTTCAAATTCAACTTTAAGCCCTAAATTGTTACATGTTACATGCCATATAGTGAATGAAAAAATTATAAGGGAACCTGCATGTTTATTTCATTCTCTCATTAAATAATATTAATAATGAAAAAAAAAAAACATCTTGGCCAATATTGCTGGGCAAAGGCCTATTGCCTTTGCCCAGCAATATTGAAAAAAATATATTTTTTTTAAATCTAATTAGATATTAGTCACATATAGATTTCAATAGCATAATAAGATTTATCATTTGGAAGATTACTGCATATACAAAACAAAGATAATTTGAATATACATTCAACCTTTTGAGACAAAAATTTGAAACTCAATAAGAATGCAAACATTTTGCACGCTTATGCAAAACGGAACAAGAGATTAAAGCCAAAATTGGTGAAAAGTGAACATACCGACTCATCTCTGAGGGTTATTCTTCCCAGAAACGCACCAGTACGCCAACTACTTGTTAACTTGCTGATATCACTTCCAGTTTCTTCTTTTATTTTACTTTTTAAGCTTGCAAACATTGTAAACGGCGAAGTATTTTACTACAAAACGAAATAAAAAAAAACTGTCACGAAACGTAATACAAATGCAAATTACTTCGATAAAAAGTAGATAATTACCAGTTTAGCTACAATATATAGATTGTTAAATATTGTTATGCCTTCAATTCTTAAAAAACCATCTTCATCTTCATTTAATACCATATTTTTTACAATATAGAAGGCACAATATATTCATGTTGTTAGAATTAATATAATAACAAATAATTAGAACTTTAACACTACAGTTAGGTGAGTTATGTGGAAATGACTGCTATTCATTTTCTTGACATTTGACACTGACATCGTTTTTTTTTAAATTATTTAATTGAGGACGAAAATATGTAGGATATACAGCTTTTTTAAAATTTTTATAAAATAAGTATTATCATTTTAAAACATTAAATTATTAACTCAATTTGTTACGTCCGTTATCATGTGTTAGAAAAGCAAAGAAATAAAAAATATGCCAGTGTTTATCCGTGTGAGTATAACGTAGTAATTTTCAAGGTAAAAATTACAAACATTTTTATAAACCCGTATTTCTTAAAATTAAAAACATCTAATGTTATTCTACTATGTAACTTCAATGTAATGTATGTAATTACGATGTTATAAAAACGCATTATTAATATGTTTTGACCATAAGGTACTAATATTGATTTCTTATACATAGTTATACAAATATACTTGGTCTGTTTAACGATTTTATAGCTTTTTATTTTGATTTCAAAATTCCGGTGTTTCCTGTGACCCTTCCAGCGTTTCGAGTTGATTTTCTAGAATTTCACAGAATGACTTTTCTTTTTCTTTGTTGATAAATTAATTAGGTTCTCTGCAAAACATTACCCCTATGTTGCCGATATTTTTATACGAGCAAAATGATTTCGTCATCGTCATCATCATCAGCCGCTAAACGTCCACTGTTGAACATATGCCGCCCCCTTAGAACGCCACTTTGCCGTTTTCATCCACCGGTTGCCCGCGACTCTTATGATGATTTTGAAATGATTTAGTTCATTATCAATATTGAACATACACAGGAGAAGAATTTTTTCCAACGTTGATTTTGTTGCAGTTTAAAGGCACAGAATAGATCATGCGATCTATCACATAAGATTTGACAAACCGAAAACCCTCATAAATCAACAGCGATCCCATCTAAGGATGACTTACGAAGCTATTGAAATAAAAAAATAACAAAGGAAATATGTGAGTGTCGTGAAACACTTGATTGGAACGAAGTTTCTTTCGTAGTATATTATTTTTATTAATAGATGTATTATATTTCTAAAAACTAAAAATTTTATCCCCTGCGCCACTGGCACTGAGAGTACTGACTCTTTGTTCGTGAAAAAGACATTAAATTCAATTGATAGCGGTTTATTTCATCATTATCATCATATCAGCCGTAGGACGTCCATTGTTGAACATAGGCCAGCCATTGGCCATTGGCTTCCACTTCGACCGGTCGGTAGCGGCTTGCATCCAACGAGTCCCTGCAATCTTTACTGGGTCGTTCGTCCACCTTGCGGGAGGCCTTCCTACGCTGCGCTTGCTGTAACGTGGTCTCCACTCAAGAATCTTTCTGCCCCAAAGGCCATCGGTTCTATAAACTATGTGCCCTGCGCACTGCCACTTTGCTCTGCTAAGTCGGTAACTCTAGTTCGTCTACGGATCTCCTCATTTCTGATTCGATATCGTAGAGAAACCCCAACCATTACCCTTCCCATAGCTCGCTTTGCGACCCCGAGCTTCCTTATGAGGCCCATAGTGAGAGACCACGTCTCGGTACCGTAGGTCATCGCTGGTAGCACGCATTAATTAAAGACTTTCGTCTTTAAGGACTGTGGTATATTGGAAGTAAAGACGTTGCGTAAATTCCCGAATGCAGCCCCGCCGAGCTGGATTCGTCGATTGACCTCCTCTCGAAGTTGGATTTGCCTTGTTGGACCATTTGTCCCAGATAAACATCAACAATTTTGAATGACGAGCATCCCAATAATACGAGGGTGGGCATCACATGGACATTTGACTTGTCGATGTAGATTTTCAGGTCCACCCGCTGGGACACTATTGAGGCCTTCGAGCATTGTGCTGAGCTCTTTCAAAGACAAACATGACTACGATGTCATCGGCAAACCGAAGGTAACTGATATATTAGCCGTTGAAATTAATACCACATCCTTTCCAAGAGTAAAGAGTTTCGGAGAGATAAAATCTCCCTGCCTAACTCCTCTCTACAACGGAATAGACTCCGTTGCTCTGATTCTGTACTCGGACCGACATGGTGGCGTTTTTATACAAGCACTTTAACACTTCGATGTACCGATAGTCAAAGTGGCACCTCTGAAGAGACTGCAGCACTGACCAAGTCTCAATTGAATCAAAGGCTTTCTCATAGTCCAGAAACGCTAAGATGTCGTGTACAATTTGCCGCAGCGTACGAATGTGGTCTATAGTTCTATAGCCTTTACGGAAACTGGCTTGTTCGGAAGGTTGCAAGACATCAAACCTGCGTGCGAGACGATTCGTGATCACCCTCAAAAACAGCTTATAAACATGGCTCAGAAGCGAGATGGGCCTGTAGTTCTTCAGCGAGGTTTTATCACCTTTCTTAAAGAGGAATACCACCACGTTTTCGTTCCACGCTTCTGGCGTAGTACCCTCGAGCAGGAAGAAATTAAAGAGCTTCTGAAGGACTTTCAGTGTCAGTGTTCCGCCCGCTTTCAGAAGCTCTGCGTAATTCCGTCCTTGCCCGCCGCTTTGTTTTTCTTGAGCTGCCATCCTAATCTCGTAGAGGCTGATGTCCGGGATATCGTCTGTATAGTGTCGACTTAGTTTTGCTCGTGGATCTTTATCCAAATCGTCAACAGGCTTAGCGATCGAGGTATATAACTTTGCATAGAACCTCTCGATCTCCCTCTGTATCTCTGACTTAGTATACGCCATACTGCAGTCTTCCGTCTTCAGTTTCGTAAACTGGCTCTACCCAATAGAAAAGTCTCTTGCGAACACTATGTTATATTCTGCTCTATCGAATCTTTGAATGATTAGTATTATTAATTTTTTCGGTTTATTTAAAAACTTGGAATTATAGGTAAAAAATTGTTACGTGACGATTCGGTCGTGACGGAAAAAATCTTATCCTTTTTTCACTTTTTACTCTTTTTATAAGGAGTTTAGTTCCGATATCCAAAATTCAATGAGGAAGATGAATGGGTGTTATCAGAAGTCTCGGATCTTAGAGTCAGTAGTCCATAAAATTAAATCCAAGCACACCAATACTGCAATACTTTATGATAATGTAAGCTCGTACTGAGTAGGCAAGACAAACTGGGTTAACTGTGACATTTGGATATACAACATTTTAACTTGTTACAGGACCATGTAAAGCGAAAGACGGTATGTTAAGTGTTGGAAATGTCAGAAATTAAAATCAATATTGAACGCACTAAAATCTGTATACTTTTCTATATTTAACAAAACTTTTCTCATGTAAATTCAGATTACCATCAGTAGGCTTACATTGAAGCATGACAATCTTTGATTATGTAATTGTCAAGTATAATAATCTTGAATCTTTACGAGTAGTTATATAATCAAAGATTACAATATGATGTTCCTCACATATATCCTTATTTTCGAGACAAAAAGCATCATGGCATGCATGTTATTTCAATGCTCTTGAAAATTGTTATCCGAATTTGAAGCGTCAAAACATTCAACCATTTTAGCAAAGAGAACTATTACTATTAACAGAAATACCAGACAGAAATTGTTTTTTAGTGAATTAGCGTGCGCTTGATAACTTTTGATATTCTTTAAAATATTATCTTTTAACTTAGTATCTAGATATTCAGAATCATAGCAATTCTCTGCGCCGAAGGTACTTAAAATAACAAAAAAGAAACAAACACATGTACATATAATATTAATATAATAAGTCTATCGAATGTTAGTTTTACGTACATAATACGTGAGCCCTGATAGCTCAGAAGTTATACTTTGTTGTGGTTCATCTGAAGTTAAGTGAATACCACCGCCCATGGACATCTGCTACATTCGAGGGCTTGTAGATGCGTTGAAAACCTTTTAAAACGTGAGCCTCCGCTACCTCACTTACCAGACAAAACGCAAAGGCATACTTTCACTTCATGCCGGTTTTCTGTGAGATCGTGGGACTTCCCCGGCCGGGTCTATCTATTTGTAACGACAAAGCTGCTGCGTTCCTTAGAGTAAAAATACTGTTCTGTGTACTCTTTGTTTGTGAAAAAAAACTTTAAATAAATAACTTGGAATTATAAGTATATGTCAAAAAGTCGTTGTATTGGCTGCTATGGTAACACCTTCATTGTGTTGCTTTTTGTTCTCATATTTTTTTACAAGGGCGCCAAAAGAAGAATAACTTCAAAAAAATATTTCCAAAATATGTGACGTCTGCCAGTCCCGAGTGGGGTCGCGTGGTGGACTATGTAGGCGTGGTACTCTTTATACAGAGGAGGCCTTTGCCCAGCTGGAACTGGTATATGCTGTTACTTTGTTTACATTTTTTACGTAATACGTTGTTTATCTTTGGTGTTTTTCTAAATAAGTCTATTATATTTTTATTATTAACTGTGTGATTTAACGCATGGTTAAATTAAAATTCCCACTGTTCGTCGTGTATTGGGCGATGTCAAATGATTGTAAAGGTATATTTTATTAGTGCTGACTTAGTAGCTAGAATGTCGACGAGGATTTTTAAGTTGTGAGTTTGTATTACAGTGAAAAACCGAAAATATATCTTTGTTTGTAATCCGCATCATTGTCTCGGAAATCACTGCCAAGGTTGAAAGTCATTCAGAATAGATTATGGTAAACGGTATTTATCTATCCGGTACGGGTTAAAAGACGTGAGCGTATTAGGCCAACATATGAATGCATATCGCCTATAGCTAATGTTTTTATGTCGTGATCTGAAGGATTCAGGTTATTACCAACGTCAGGAAAGTATGATGTCATCTGCGATGTTATGGGCTCACAAAGTAAAACACATTTGGCCCCGCTCTAATAGAAAACTAGGTCAAGGGCTTTGTTTCCCAATTAAAACGCCTCTTCATAGAAGAGGGAAGGGAATATTACCGTACTTCTTTGCCGACGGGTCTTATAATGAACTGACCTGGACCTAAAAGTTATTTTAAATTATAACGTTATTCTTATTTGTACAACCTGCCTACTTAGAATAATCTTTTTAAAACTTTCAAATATTCAATTTGGTATCAAATATATTAAAGATTTATAATGTATAATGGTTACAAAAATATGTTTATTTTGTACTTCTACGTTATATGTTGTTTTTAAAGATACACATGTCTTAAATTTAAAGGAACTGATCCTGAATATCAAAATGTATGGTCATATTAGAAAAGCCTTTTTCATTTACATATTTTGTGAAACTAGGTACCTACTTCCCACGGGTAACATTTTCAAAAAGATTTTGTTATCGGACATTGTTTTTTTAATTTAATAACCCGGTGTTTAATTTCAACAACTTTTCCGTATTTTTGTGGTCAGTAAATTTAATTTTTTCCAATCTTTTTGGTATTGTATAGATAGATACGAGGTAGACATGATACTAGCGCACTCAAACTGAGGCACAAAAATTTTGCCAAATGGTGTAATTAGATTGCAACTCTATTGACTGCTATCTCTTTCCGTAGCATACGTTCTATATCATCGGTCCCGTTCACTTATATTTGTCATAATTATAATATTTTTAAACGTCGCTCTGTTTGGACATGCCGCATCTTACTTAAACCAGTGCCATTATAGAACTTTTTGATCACCTTTAACATTGTAATTTAAAAATACTTTTGACTCAACAGTACATTTTAGGAAGGATTTTGTGATTCGATATCATGTTCATGTACTATGGGTTAAAACCAATCTTTTGAATGGAAGATAGGTAATTATTTTGTAAATTGGTCTGTCATGTGACATTCGATTCGTCAAATGGCAAGCGATTGCTTGACGATTTTTAGCTTTGACACTTAACAGTATGTGATTCTCTTCTTTCTGGTTATGTTATCCGAGACACACCTTTATACCATACCAACACCATAATAGTAAAGGAAAATAGTAAATACGGTACATTGCTTGTTTAAATATTTTATTGTTAAGTAATGTTTATGGGTATTATGCAATATAAGTAGGTACACATATTTAGAGCTATTAATTTGTATCACCATACATGTGGTTCTATTTACTTAATATTACTTTAACATATAATATTTCGTAGGTAAAATTTTAAGGATTCCTTTCTACTTGGTTTTGAAATAAAATAAACAAATCACATATTCAGTTGTTTATTATCTATACTGTACTCAAAATTGATCCGAAGATCACATCACATAGTAATTTCATAAATAATATTACAATGTCATGTACTTTCTGTGATTGCTCGTGAATAAAAAAACGTTCACAATATTATCAATACTTTGTTCACTGGACCGGTTCACCTTTAGTAGACTGTACCTACTACAATAATAAGATACATTACTTAGGTACTCAAAGAACTTACAGTGTACTTGATGAGAGATATAATAACCAATTATTGTGTTGCAGTTCATTTTTTTGTTTATATATTTACAGTTTTACATTTTTTTTGTGATTTACAAATAAATTCTTGAATATTTAATTAGGTCATCATTATTCCATTTGGATTTATAATAACAGTACTTTATAGTTAAAAATATCACAAAAATGAAATATACTATGTGTAAGACACACGCAACATTAAAAATACAACAAAAGAAAAATATAAAATCCACTAGAAACCTTGGGCCAGAAGAGTCCCTTCTAAACAGGAAGGATACTTTCGATGTTTCAATCTTTCATAACGGCAATTTGATACCATAATTATAATTATCACACTAATTAATTATAAAAGTAATCGATTGTCTTACAATAAATGCGTCAGATCATAAAATTTTGATTAAAAAATTAAAGATAACAAATAATTCAGGAAACGATAAATTTCAACAAAAAAAAAAAAAAAGGAAAAACCTAATAAAATAAAGAGACAACTTACAGATTTAGGACTCAAGTGCCGTATTGATAAAAGCGAACTGTTCCCCGGGCTCCGCGCACGGCTCGGGCCGACAACAACAACACAAACTAACGCGACCGCATCCTAACGAGTTTCACTCCGCCTTCCGCTATTCTTCTTTTATCGATATGGCATTCCACTTATGATACGACAATAAATATAACGCGCTTACACATTAATCACTTCTTTAATTCCGACGCTAGGAATTATTTCATAATATATACCTAAAAATATAATCACGGCACAAGTATCCCTCCGACTAAATTACTAACGTAGTGTCACTTTATCAGGATTTAGAATCAAATATGTATTATGTATCTTAAATATTTCATTATTAATATATCATTATCAAAATATCCACTAAATGGGAGGAATAAATCAAATTATTAATATTTTATTCTAACATTAATCGCATGACTGATCAACAAAAGGATATGGACTAGGAATATTATTAGGCATCGGGCTTCCATGCCTCGAGGCGCCCTCGTCGCCGCCTCGTGTCTCGACCGTAGGTGTGGAATACCGCTTGGTATCTGTCAGTATCACTTAGTATCGCTGAGTATCGCTTGACGTAGCTGGGTGGGTCGATAGCGACGCGGCGCGGCGGCGACGTGGGCGTCTGCCTCTCTCTATCCGCATATCACCTCTACATACATACGACGAGATAAATTTGATCAAAACGTTAATACTGCTCATGTCGAAAACAATATTGGTAGCTGTTGCATGCTCTGAACTCATCGAGAGGTAAATCGGACACGATCATCGGTCACTATTTTGTGCTTCGATAGACAGGAATCGATCAGGAAAGGAACGAGTATCTAGCAAACTCTATCTGGAATAAAAGCTGACATGGTTTCTATCCTATTAAGTAGGTAAAAGGCTTGGAAGTATGCATTCATCGTTTCAATATTGTCCGATAGCTTTCATTGCACCTCGAATGTCTGCCCACTATCACTCTACGAGTGTCGTGATCTATGCTAAAGTGAGAATTGGACGACGCGACGCGGCACGCGGCTGCGGAGCTACCTTTGCATCGCGTCGGGACCGCCTTTCCCGTTGCCGCAACGGTTACTATCGTTTCAACTGGCTACGTCCGTATTCGAAATGGCGTTGCATATCAACCGTAATGGCCTCCGCGTGTAAAGTTACCGTGAACCGGCTAACGGAGCGTTTGAAAGGCGATTGAAAACGCGAACGTTCCGACGCAACGCGCGCCGCTCCACGAAACGTGCACTGTGCTCCGGCGTCGAAAGTCTCAGTGCCGAAGGAGAAAAGCGGCTACTCTATTGTGTTTCATTACTGATTCACTTAATCTAAACTAGTGTAAAACTTGTCATCTATAAAAACATAATTTCATAACGTACGTAAAAAGTAACATAATTCTCACAAAGAAATGCTCACATTAGGAGTGGGGTGATGCAACTTTAGACAAGTGCGGGTGCGGCACGGCGGCCGCTCCCGCACCACCCGCAACGAGTACATCGCTTATATACAACAAAGTTCAGTACGGCGCCGAGTGGCGGACGCACCGATTATTACAGGAACTCATATCGTATCTTAAAAAAAAAAATATACAATAGTAATAAAACATTTTGCAACCTCACTAACTACTATTCGACGATCTCGATAAAAATTATTCAAACAGCTCCGAGGTCTCGTTATCTATTCATATCACAATCGCATGACCGTGCCTGAGAATCGTATCCCGCTACGTGTTATGTACACACTCCTTCCCGAAGTCTAATACGCATTGCCGGCGTGGAGGGGTCGCGGGCGCGGGGGGGGGGGGGGGACGCGACCCCTCCGCCGCCCTGAACTAGCCGACCTTCGCTACTCTGGCATCGCCTCTGCAGCGGGACTGGCGGGAGTTGCCTTCCCTAGTGTGTCGGGGCCGCGGTCGATATGGACACCGCGGGGCGATCTGTGGAGCGGGGCTGGAGAGAGGTTCGGGGGAGGGGCCGCGACGAGGTGTGTGAGGTTCGGAGGGATGAGGGCGCAGGGTGAAGCGAGGGGGGGGGGGGTTACGGCGGTGAACGGGTCAGAGATCAGGTTAAGGGGGGCGCAGAGCTGGCGGCAATTGAACGGGGATGTGGTAGTAGCGACAGGCGGCACGGCGGCAAGTGCCCGCGGCGGCGTCACGGCACACCACCACTCGGCACCCAACCACCTGCAGCCCGCACCCTGCAACCCAGGAACAAGTTACAGGTTCGCCCCAGCCCTAGGAGTCGTTCACACACAACTTCATCAATAGAGAAACATTTCTAATGCAGTCAATCTACTGTCTAACGTCGAGTTATCTAATAAGGAACGTTAAAGGGTATACAGTTTTATAATAACGGAAAATAACAATAAACGACTAATCTAAATACGGTCTACAGAACTTTATTAATTCGCTAATCGATATTGTTTCTACACAATAAAAGGGTATATAATTATAACGTGTGATCATGCATAAGGGGATAGAGGAGGATGTTGCTTATAAATGTGTACGTAGTGTTTCTTTCTTTTCTATATAATTTAAAAAACCGATTTGACATGCGGGTCAACTCGAATTATAAAAGTTAACAGTAACTTCGAACGGCTAATTCTAAAATGACAGTGTCTCACCTTCGCGAATATGAACGAATCTGCAGGTAGGTCTGGTACATCCTTGTCGATTAAAATCTTGGCACACCGGGAGGGTGTCCAGTAACTGAAAAACATAACGTAATAATTAGTTTATATAATTCATGGCATTTACTTCATACAGTCATGCAGTTGCTACAAGAACGATTTCTTTAGGTACACAATACACAAACTTAAACGTAAAAGTCATCCCTTAGTGAGTTTTGTTTTATTTTAGTGTAGTATCTTCTCGATAATCAACACATTTTTAAATTAATGTATGATTGTATGACATCCGTGGAAAGAACATAAATATATATTTTTATTTTCATTAACGCATTGGAGCTTTGCAGCATTGGCTTTTAACTCATTAAAAGTATATTTATATTATGGGTAACAGTTTTAATATTTTAATGTACCTCTAATGTTCTAACACAACTGCATGATTGTTGAAATAATCTAGGTCTACTTCATAAACAGTCGAGTCAAGAGTCCATTCCAAGAAGATTTCTATAAAAATATATTTGTTTTTTTTATTAAAAAAGTGAAAAGTGGATGGATTCTGACGGTTTATGAATAAATTAATGTTAATATTGTTAATGCTAATTCTATATCATCACTTTATGGACATTCATACTGTTTGACACTGAAAAGTATCTTCATTGCACAGCCTTCTGAAAAAATCGCTGACATAGTTTTTGTAATATCAAAGAGCTTAGAGTTTTACAAAGGGGCCGCACATCGGCTCGTGTATGTATTACTATGGTAGACACCTTATCTATTTCGAAAATATTTCCTCAATGTTACGTCCAATAATTAGCGAATGCGTGTGTAGTTTCTCAATGGCTACAAACTGGTACAAAACAAAATAGGATACACGGAAGGCGGAACTGCTCGAAATCAAATCTTGTTGCTGCTTTAATATTACAAGAACTTTACAAGATTCGTTGCACAATATGATTGTACTTTCCAAGCATTCTTTCATTTGCGTGTGGGCTGACGAGGGCGTGTCACCTTTATATTGTAACAACTGTCGGTGTAACACAAAATTTACACGGCATTGACACTTTGCGGGTTTGTCTCTTGTTTCATGAACGAGTTCCGTAACCGTCAGGAGATAGTGTTAAGGTACGCTGCACTATGCACATAGTAGGTATGAATATATAATATCTAAATGGCATGCAGAACGCTTGAAATATAATCATTATTGCGCAGCCAATCTTATTTAAGCGTGACTATATTTTACAAAAAAGCTAAAGCATGATGCTAGACAACTTTTACCAGGGCGAGGGCGGTCTAGAGGTTCTTTAGCGTCCAAAGTGTACCCATATATACCAACTGTTGCTATATAAAGCTAAGAGGCTGTGTGGGGAGAGTTACGACATGTGTCTGCGTCGGCTGTGATGATGCTATCTCTTCGAATGTTCACAGTAGAGGAACACGGGGCGCTCATGCTCGTCGGTAGGTAGGCATGGTTATAATGTAAAAAGACAAATTAAATTTATACCTTTAGCTTACATGACAGTTCTGGACGTGACATGTTAGTGGTAGTACAAACTGCAACATAATGACCATTAGATAGTGCGGTTACTGTACGACAAACAAAAGAAAACCAAGTATATTAATTACGACTACAGTGATTAATTTCAAGTAAGCATCAGAGAGGCCTCGACAAGTCGTAAGCTGGAACGGAAGCCGCATAGCGAAGCTCAAGCGTTGTCACAAAGAAAAGTCGAAGTGGATAATTGGTCGGAATACAAAGGGCGCGTCGTGGCTTCTTTGGGGCGCCAATTAGGCTGTTTTCGCGACGGCGGCCGTCACCTCGAGTTTTCTTATTTCACCACCGTTTCAACTACCAACCACGCACGCTTTCAAATTTATTAGATATTACAATAGAGAAAACCCCCTTGTATGCGGTTGGTAGTTGACACAAGCGGAAGGTGAATTTAGTATGTTTCCATCAAAAAGTTAACATCACACGATAAAAGGTAAAGGGCACAAGTGCGATAAGAGGAAGACGTTGTTCCATGTCAACTTTTTAACAGGACAAATAACGGCTTCGTTAATTAAATTCATTAAACCTTTACTGAAACAACCGCGCTCTGCGAAATTTAAGAATGTGTGAAAAGTAAACAAGAATGCATCGGTTTTAGCCATGCGTCGAGTAAGAGGTGATGTTTCAATAGAGGCTTCAAACAGGAAATCACTTATATTGAGGATATTAAAGTAAGCTGATTATATCTTACCGGGTGTAAGCAAGGCAATACTGTAGAGTGACTTCTTCCACATTCTTTGAAAGCAAGTATGTCTCGCTATACATAAATATAAAACGTCAACGGGTAAGTTGTAGCATCAACTGTTGAATTTTGTATTACATATACGGTTACAGAGCAACGACTAAAATGGCTGATGTGAATGATGACGCCGATAGACAAGAAACTTATTACAAGCAATGCCATCGGCTCCTTATAATCCGCCCAGTTAAACTTGCAGCGTGTCCGATTAGTAAGTGTGTGGCCCATTCTCACATTTGGCGGTCATCAAAGTAACGCAGCGTCACAATAGAGATGGGAATGAACACTGATTTTTTTTTAGCTGAGCAGTAGTGAGAAGGTTATCGTCAATTCGCATTTTCCCCCATTTCCTTGGACACCATTTCTTTTCTTGGCATAAAGCCTTTTGTCACCAAGCGTAGGATCCCCGTAGTGAGCGTTCCAGAAGTGAACGCCCGTAATCAGAAGCTTGTAAACAAGCAAAACGTTTTATAGGTCTCTTGTGGCGGACCTCTCTATTTCTACTGAAGCGTCGAAGCAAGCCCGATTATTTCAACAAGATTTAGAAGTTACGGTAATGCGTAGTAGTGAAGCGTATAGTTTAGTATGTGACGATAATGATACACGTCGGATGGCTTTGCATACTGTCGACAGTAATTATAAGTGGCGATGGGTAAAAATTAGGCCATTTGGTTTATCTTGTTATTAAACTTTGTCGTATCGGTAGAGGTGAATATATAGAGGTAAGTGGAGGTGAAAAGTTGCAGGTGGCTTTTGAAAGCTTACTGGTTAGAGCGAGCGCTCACGGGCCCGTGTACGGTCTGGTTAGGGTAGCGTCTACTGGAGTGACGTTAAAAACATAACATTGGTGTCGTTTAGCGTTAATAAGCGTCGGGCGGAGTCAGACTGCGGAGGGTAAGCGGCTGTAGTCTGCGGCACAAGCGTGCGTTTTGGGTTTGCGTTTGCGTTTACGGAGCAAAGTCGTAAGCACTGCGCTGTGCTTTAACGCGGCAAACGTTACCTGTCCGCGATCGTCCGTGTACACCACGTATGGGGCGTTTGGCGGTGCACAGCCTTTCCATCCCAATATAAAAAGCGACAAAAGATTTGGCAATGCGGACGACAGCCGAAGCGGTCATTCGGAAGGCATGTAAAAGAAAGCGTTAAAATAAATAAAAAAAAAGATAGTGCGGCCGGAAGAATAGTGCGGCGTCGACGCACGTCGAGCCCCGCAGCACTACTGATGAACAATTCGGCACAAATAGCACAAACAAGGAGCCACTAGTATAATGAGAATAATACCTGATGAGCCAAAACGTATAGGGGGTGGTGGATTCTATTCCATGCGAAAATTAGAAGGCGGCGGTGTTAGGTGCGGGCTTGCTGCTGCAAGCCGGTAACCACTAGGTACTGGATCGACACAATGGCCAAAGCGCACCCGTGCGGAGCTCCTTCGAGAACAAGCGTGTACGTAGCGGGAACGGGATCGACGGACCAAGCGCTCAACTCTCAGTACGACGGTAGTCACGATTAACGACGATCGACAAGAGGTAATAAAAAACGTACAGTCATGCAATTCAAGCGTTATTATTACCGGGATCGTAGATACGAGAAATATACACGCATAAGATAATAACGGTAAGTGAGTAGATAGATACACAATCGAATAGATATAGCGTAAAACTACCGAGACATCCGCGAGGTTGACTTGGCTCGCTTCGTCCTTACAGTAATACAATACAAATGTGACAACACGCCTAGCGCTAACCGCCCCGACAGGCCGGGGCGGGACACACAGCCGCACACGTATGAGTCTCTACGGGGAGACCCCGCGCCCCGCCCCCCCGAGCGCGGCGAGCGCAGCCGCGCGGCCGCTTATGTGGTCTTCATCTTTTTGTAGGGGTTGACGGCGGCGGCCGCGGCGGCCGCGGCGGCGGCGGCGGCCGGCGGCGTGGGCGGCGGCACCGCGTACATGTACGGCGGCTGGTAGTAGCCCGGCATCGGCATCGGGGGCCAGCCCGGTCGCATCATGAGCGGCGCGCGCATCAGGCCCGGCACGGCGGCGCGCGCCTTCAGCTGCTGGCTGTAGGCGGCCGCCGCGTGCGCCATCGCCGAGTGCTGCGCGGCGAGGGCCAGGGCCGCGGCGTAGTTCTTGTGCGCCACCTCTTTGGCCATAGCGGCGGGGTCGTGGGCGCCGGGCTCGGGCTGCGCGGGCGGGCTGGCGGGCTGCGGCGCGGGCGCGGGCGGCTGCGCGGGCGGCGCGGGCGCGGGCGCGGGCTGCGGCGCGGGTGCGGCGGGGGGGCCCGAGGGCGCCGCGCTCGGCGGGGCGGACGAGGCGGGCGCGGGGTACTCACATGACACGGGCACGAACGGCTGCTGCAGTTGCATCAGCTGCTGGTAGGTGGTCGCCGGCTGATACACCGGCATTCCGGCTTTGTCCGCGGCGGGTCTCTTGTACGGCACCACGCCCGGGAATGCCTGCAAAGGAACATTGGGCCGTGAATCGCTCGCCGGTCGGGGTCGAACAGAGTCGCTTCCGGCTCGCAACTACTATTATGCGACCCAAGTTGATACTTACGAAGTTATCGTAATAGAAGGAGCCGACGCTTTTCATGTCCATCTGAAACGAGAAACAAACGGTTGAACGGAAGATCTCGGGCAGTGGGGTTTGGGTGGGGCGCGCGGACGGCGGCGCGCGGCGAGCGGGTGGGGGCGGCCCGTCGGCGCGCGCCGCGTCCGTCGCCCCGGGGTTGTGGGAGGGGCGCGCGGAGGGAGCGTGCGGGCGGGGGCGGGGAGCGGGAGCGGAGGTGAAGCGTGCAAAGCTGGCAGTTGTACCGGTGGCGGCTCGAGTTCGGCGGGTGCCGGGCGCTTCTTGCCGGGCTCCGAGGTCGCGCTCGCCGCCGGCTGCTGGGCTGCGGCGGCCGTCTACGTGAAGCGAAGCGTCGCAGGACGGGACAGAAACAATAACGATGTAATAGATGCACAGAATACACCTAAAGCTCGGCGTAAGGTGATATTATGCGAAAGATAAAAAAATTAAAAGTGAAGCGTGAGTGCGACGGAAGCGTGGCGCAAGTAAACGCCGCGGCGAACTGAATATAAGAAGCTCTGCGGAACAGAAGCGGCGTCACGGCGAGCGAGACCAAGCAGAAGAAGAGAAGCGAGCGCGAGCGAGCGAGGCGAGAGCGTGCAGCCAGGTGGCGTACCGCGCCGCGCGCCTGCGCCTTAAGGTGCGCCTGCAGGTGCAGGGGAGGGTGGAAATAGCGGCAGGGGTCGCGTACGCAGCGGCCCTTGACGGCGTCCATGCACACCGTGACACAGCCGTCGTCGTGCGCCGCGACGGGCGGCGGCGGGTGCGCGAAGCGACACTCGGACTCGGCGCGCTTGCACGCGCCGCGCTGGAACTCCCGGCACACCTGCACCACCACACACCACCGCCTCACACCGTGCCTTGCCGCCGGGAGGACCGCCGCGAGCCCATCGCCCAACCCCTAGCCAACTGCTCCCATAGCGCCCTAGCCTTCCTACCTTATCACTCGCCCTGACAACGCGCCTAATGAATTATGTACATCGTGATGTAATCTACAGAGAGAAGACGGGTGTAGACTACCCTAATATGAGCTAACTATGTTTATGAATCCTAATATAAAATTACATTGAAATGTTTTTGATTAATGTTATAACGTTAACTGCAAAGGTAAACATTGATCTCAACCGGACGCCGCTTGAAATAGAAATTTGACTGACAGTACAAGTAAAAGAATGTAATCGGTTTACGCATCCGTCGCATAATTTACAGTTTTATTTGGCAACGTTTGTCTACTATTATATCATGTTTGGGCTACTTGGTTATCGGAATTTAAGCATTTGACACCACACTGTAGACGACACACATCGAGGTTAAATATAAAATCGTTGCTTTTATAGACTTAGCCTGGTTGCAAAGAAACCTTTATAAGGGGTATGTAGGGTATAATAACCTGCGATGTTGTATCAACAGTGTGAGTCTATCACCGGGAGGGTAAGCGAGTGCTGCTCGCGAAGCGCACGCGGACGGGTCGGGCTAGTGCGCCCACATACCACAACACACGGGGACAGTTAAGGGCTTCTTGGCCGAATTACGCATAGGAGACCGACAACTTAATGTAGGTAACTTACGAAACATCGCACAAAACCTTCCCGCTCTTTCTTTACGTCTGTGGTAAAGAGAGTGCGTTTGAATTTGTCGGTCCCCTGCACACTTGGCAACACCAGAAAGCACTACTCGGACAGGGGGCTAGAACAGTGTGGACATGGAAGTAGAGCGTCCGTTACCTCGAGGCGGTCGGTGCGCGGCAACTTCTGCTGCAGCACAGGCTGCTGCATCACGCCGAGCGGGGAGGCGGCGGCCGCTGCCGGGTCGTGGCCCAGCACGGCCGGCACCAACTGCGGCGCGTAGTACTGCGCGTACGTCGAGCCCACGCCGGGCACGCCCGACAGGTACGGCGAGGTCGCCTGCACAACGCCAACCGAACGCGTCAAACAGCGCCCCCAATCGTCGGACAACTGATAAATATATAACCAGATTCTCAATCTCCCAAGCACCCTTCACAATCCATTGGCAAGCGAGAGGTTCGTCTAGAGACTACGGAAGCGATCGTTGTGACGCGCTTTAGATACAGTGTTAGTTTATCGTGAATTATATTAATTAGCCAATATAAGCTTTCGCATGCACTGTTAGAGAGTGTTCGAAACGTTAGTTGGGTAAACGAAGCGTACGGTTCTGTCTGCGTCTAGCTATCCACCGGCCACCACAGAGATAGTTGCATACAGGATTGGACGGGGGAACCTAGGCGACTTCAAATCATAGTTTATTGAATGCGACGTACAGAGTGGTATACGGGATAGTGGCGCGAGGTAGCCGGCGGCGATGCGAGGCGCTCGGCGGCGGTTACCTGCGGGGCGAGCAAGGCGAGACTGATGGGGTCCAGCGCGGTGAGGTGGCCCGCGGCCGCGCCCGCTCCGCTCACGCCGCCCACCTCGACACAAAACCACACAAACACGCTACTCATCGTGCGAGGATCGCCGGACGGCCCGTGCCACTGTCCATTTTTGCCTCGCCGTCGCTTCGCGCACCCCCCTTGGCTCAACAAAATCTTATGAGGTCAAACTACGATAACGATTCACTGCGATTGAGGGTCCATACGGAATAGGCATGCGAGTAGCGACACCGAGGTTGACGGGCCGCGACGTTAGCGAAAGTGAGAACAGTGAGAAGTACGATGTATCAGTGATTAAATTTGCATTACCACTTATATACCCAGTTCATACAAATGTGAGTAAGTTCAGAGAGTCATCATGCGACTTAAGGAACAAATTATACGAACATGCTTCAAGCTGTGAGGAGCGATCGGCCATCGTTGGCGGTGTTTAAGTTGTGCCCATGTATATTAAATCCTATTCGCAGACACTCAAGTACATTTTATAGTCCTTATATCGTTCTGTGCTGCCACCAGTCGCGGGTAAACTTTAAATTGAAGCGGCACAACTCCAACCTAGAGCAGTTGTCCCAGAAGAAAGTAAATTACCATTAACTTTCAACATGTAAATGACTGAGTTTCAAGTTTCAAAGGAAAGTTCTATGTGTAACAGAGCTAATTTACTCACTAAAGAAAATATTGCAGCGACGTGTAATCATTTAGATCGCACTAGAGCTAATACTTTGGAATTTTGCAAGGCACAACTTAAACGCGATGCTGTAAAAACTCTACGTGTTTTATTAAGTAGAACGCTTATAGGTACAAGATAGCGAGTACACCGAAAGCTGCGTGTTGCGTGCACAGGGTACGTACCTATTGAGGACCGATCGCTCGAAGCGTTTGTTTAGTGCGACAAAGGGCTTAGAAGCGGTACTAACCACGGCGGGGACTTGACCAGGCAGCACCTGGCCTGGCGTCAGACCCATTTGCTGCATTAGGGCGTTCTTCAGTGCTAGATGGTTTCGCCCGTTGATTAGCAGCTGATCCTTGAGGTGCTGCGGCGGGTGGAAGTACTTGCAGGGCGGCTTCTCGCGGTTACACCGGCCCTGGAATCGAAAAGACAATCGAGTTTAGTGAACATTAATTCCATATCTCTTTACTTAGTTAAATAATTAGTTCCTACCGCAAAGCATCTGTACAGTTTTCCCGACTAAAGTATCTAAGCAGAACAATAAGAGTTCGAGCGCGAGTGGGCTCCGCTGCGCTTATTTTTGGCGTCAATGAGGCGAGAGATAATTGCCTCTCCAAATCGAAGCCCTCCGCGGCAGCCGTCTATGATGATTTATGTACACTCGCGTAATTAACTGTCGCACTACGTGACGGGAAGGGCTGCGCGGACGTTTTATCGCCGCACGCCGGAGACTCCGCGCCATATTTTATTCAGCGCAGTGAAAAAAGGCGGGAAAAACGCTTATCGCCGTTTGAAAGAAAATATTTATTTACACAAACTCCATCTAAAATACTCAGCGCTCCGGTCGGAGACTCGCTCCCTGATAATGTCTGCGTAGCACTAAGCTGCGGAGTGATTTATTGAATAACTTTCCTACTAGTGGGGTTGTACAATGTTGATACTAAACAGTTTAATTTTATTATTGAGGACATCTAAGCGTTTAGACAACTTCTTATTTGTGTATCATACACAAAAGTTACGTTTTAATTAAAAAAGTGTGTGCTATGTACACACGTTAGAAGTTATATTTCTTTGGCGTAACAAGATAAAAATCTTTTCAAAAATTTTATCTTTCGCCTTATTCTACGTTTGTAGAAAAAAGGACACTAACAATAGAAAAAAGGTATTTAATACATTGAAAGTTTAATATAACGCATTATCTAGTTAAATAAAGTTTATTTAAATATCACAAAATAAATATCGTGAATACAGTAGTCAGTACTCACGCAAACATAAGTAGATGTCTAGCTAACTTCAGGGTGTCGGTTTTTCGTGACGGTGTGCGCAGGCATCGTTTAAATTTACTCTCATCTTTTTCCCTAACGCTCCAAAAGAATTATAACTTCAAAAAATTATAATTGCTAGGGAAGGTATCGATGAATACCTGTTATAATACTGAATGTTTGTTTTCATCGTTTATGTGTTTACTTTTTCTTAATAAAAAAATCGTGACTTGAAATTTTTATATTCAGATGAAATAAAAAAAAAACTCATATTGCATCCATACAGATAATCCGAGATATCTTTGTTAATACGTATGACTATAACAGCTGCTTTACGTCTGAAGGCGATTTACGGATTGCTCAATGCCCTCATTTCACGCGTGACAAGCGCTCAATCACTCCGACCCGTATACGAATGACAGATTGAAACGTCTCAGCGAAACATTAAAAGCAAACAGCGTATCTTTGCACAGGCGAATCAGTTGCAGGCGTACCGAATTTTCCCGGTTATTAAACTTAGCCGACGCCTGCGTGCCACAACAGCCAGCGGAGGCAGTCGGATGCATTTAGATTAACTTGTTACTGGCAGGCATAATGTTAGTTGGACGGTCCTCTAGCAGTCGGGCTCGGGGATAAAGTTATTATTTCCTGTTACTCCGCGCCGTCTACTTTAACCGTGCCTCGATTCCCGGCGACCCGTTTGCGAAACTTGAACGGGTGATCACGTTCGAAACGTAACTATGATAACTCGGTTCGCTCTATCAAAGTGGCGTTTGTCGCTGCCGATGGACAATTACTAAGTTTGAGGGTTCGGGAGGTCAAACGAGAGAGCTCGCGGGCGTGATTCGGCGCGTCGTACGAAAGATAGGCGATTATTTGCGCAACAGTGGTGCGGGTCAGCACGTCCCACGCGCGGGCACCCACGCTCTCGCGTTAAGCCGTATACATATTTTCCACGTATTGCTCTGGCCTCTGATGTCACTATTCATTATAAATGAACAGGGACACGTAAATAGAACGAAACCGCAAACACAATGATCGATGTTGCGAGAAGTGTGCTTAAAATAACTTTTATAGGAATAATGTAAGTGTTCATGATATTATGCTACTTTTTTCTAATCACGCACAAGAACCACCTTGGTATAGATTTATATGGAAAATTATGTTATAATTAAAGCAAATGGCAATGGCAAGCAAATGGTCAGGGAATACCGCCCCACAGACACTATACGTAAGGTTTCATTTTTATTACCAAACTTAGGGGGTATTTCTCAGTTATACTAGTCAACAGACGATACACAACAGTTCTTGTACTGTCTTCTGCAAGGCGTTGGTACTTGCTCGGATTATCCAAGCCATTAATGCAGTGTAGCTCTTCCACAGGAAGGAACATTCTCATCATCGTTCAACTTTTATTAAAAGAGATCATTTAATATGCACTTTGATCGCATTTTTATTATACTCGTAGCTGCTCTTAAACGACTCAATGAGCGTTATCACGCTCGTTTCGCTAGCCGGATCATTATTGGCAGCGTGTTTGGGCACACCGTCCCGCCGACGGGATATCGGGCGCATGCAGGTACATAGCGATTAGCGTGACGGATGCCCGCGCGGGGACAAATGGCTGCGTCGCCTGAGACGGATGGCCGCCCGCCCTGCGCGCATTATCACGTTAATTACTATCCGATCGCCCCCCTCTCTCTCTCTCTGTCAGCGTGCGTGATAAACGCATGTGCATGTTCCAGCTGGTTTTCCTACTTGCTTCGCAGATAGCCGTTCGGTCAATGGACACAAACATTAGGCAGTGTCAGGTGTTCATATGCTATGCTGATAATTAGAAACTATAAAAGTAAGAGATATATGTACCATCGTCGAGCAAAGGCCTCCACTGTACAGAGGGTACTATAGGGCATAGTACTAGATTTGAAATAATTTTTTTATCTTTATTTAGAAAATATGAAGGGTTTCTCGGTTTCTACGATGCTTTCCTTCTCTGCAAAGCAAGTGATAAGTCAGCACTTACAATTTTAAATTAACAATACGTTGACGACCAAGACCAATATCAAGATGTTTGGAATAATTTCTTACTCTCCACTTTTTAATACTTACTGACTATTGTATTAAACCTTTGTGTTATGTATTTGCTAGTTTTGACTTTGCAGAAAATTTATAGAACTGATTCGCTATTCACATGATTAAAGCAATATACAGATATAACCCCTGTGTACCAAGTTTCACCGAGCTTATCAAGTCCCAAAGGTAATCATTGTATTCGTATATTCATAAATGGCTGGTAAATATCAAATAATTACGCAGCAACTCATTTTCAAAATTAAAAGCTCTTAGTCCCTTTGTACTCTAGTCGAAACTTTATTAAACTTCAGGCATAGAATACTTAAAAAGTTCAAGTACAAAAAAAATGACTAATCTAAAAAAAAACTTTGAAAGCTTCGTTTGTTTAGATATTCAAGAGCAGCGTCGGGGTGAAATAAAATGTCGTAGTTTTACTATCGAACAGTGCAGGGGTGAACTCGGTAAATATTAGGGACTGCAGAGGGTTGAGTGGTCGCGGGCGAGCAATAAGCGCCCAAACTAATAACATTTTTGCGATAGTGCGGAGCGCGCCTCCCTCGCCGCATCCTTTACGGCGCTACAATGCGCACTCGCTACACAAAGGGGCACGGCGACCGCTTGTTCCTAACGATCTGCTGTTTTCCTTTAAACAGACGAATCTCGTCGCGCCAGCGGGAATACATCGGATTAGAGACGACAAGTGAATATGTCTCGTCGAGTTAAGGCACAGAGGGCACTCGGCGACTGGAGCGCATAACGAACAGTCCTCGAGCAGTGGCTTGTCGCGTGGGGCACGCTCCGTCACCCGACTTACGGCGGGCTGCCAGAGATATAAGCGGACACCTACATTGTCTAATTTTACAGGCCCAACAGTACATTTATATTACTCAGCTTGTGTGTGTGCAGGTGAGCCACTCAAATTAAAGAGCGAATGGAAACGTTCCTAGTTAACGGGCGGTGCACAGAGATATCAGGTTATCCGGCGGCATAGCACGCACGTGAGCGTATAAATCAAACAGAATATCAGTAGGTGCCGAGCGAGGCGCGCCGGCCGCTAATCGATCTATCGATCACAACTGATGTATTGGCGACACGCCGCCGACAGAGCGCGGTCAGCGGAACGCTCGCTATGCCGCACTCAACTATTCCACTATTGGCCGACCCCACGCGCGCCGCGGCAAATCGACACACGAGGAAAACAATGGGCGAACGATTCGATGAATGACACGCTCACGCCGCTCCAAGGAACCACTTGTACGCGCGGAGGCGGTTGCCAAAAACCCCGTGATGTCAAACGGGGCCTGGAATAGAAGCGGCCGGCGAGTTGTGCCAACTCCACCACCTGTGTATAAATAAATGTAGTGATTTCGGTACGGCATCTGTGTCATGCAGTTATCCGTGGCACGTGGCCATGTTCCTTTCGGTATGTTGTTTTAGAATTTTTATTATTATACCTTTGTATAAATTATTATACCATTATATATATCATTCGTTTTTCGCTATGACTTGTCATACCACACACTTGTTATAATGATATAATATGAAAAAAAGCCAAAGACCAAGTCCATCGCCCGTTATCTTGGTCCAAGAGCAGGATTTGGTTGCCTTTGCCGAATAGCCGACACGATCGCATGCCCCGAATCCAATTCCTAATGCCGCGAATAATTTTTCCGACAACCCGAAACGAAGGTAAGGCGAAATCTAATTTGCAAAATTTTGCTGCGACGTGAATTAGGTAAGTAAAGTCAATTCCGAAAGTAAGTAGAATTTGAATTTAAAATGATTTATAGAGGAGCCGGGGTGTGGCTAATGAGCAGCAACGCGAGAGGGGCCTCTGTTTACGGCATTTGCTCGCCACCACTTTGTTCATTTCAGCCCGACGGCGGCGCCAGCCGACTCGCTTTAAATGATCACCAATAAACGTCGAATCCAACGCGTCATGCTACTATTAGCTTCCTGAGCTCCGAAATTGTTTATGTTTATACAACTTGGTAAGAAAACAATACGAGCCTGACGGGCAAAAAGCGCACACTCTTCTGAAGAAGCCTTAAACTAAGAATTATTCACTCCGCTGAAGTTCCCAACAAGTTTGCATCGCGGTGCCGTAGCTTAACGTTAAAATATGCATCCGTGCGCGGAGCTATCTCGGCCACTTTTGCTGCCGCCGCCGGCGGGCGGTCAGCCGTTGTTTATCCCGCTTTTAATATTAGTTGCCCACTTTTAAACGCTAATCCCGAGACGCAAACGGTCTGCCTCTATCGTGTTCGTCCTGTCTGAAATTTTTCATGAGACTTTTATGTGGTCCGACTTTCCGTGCTTGAACTTAATAAAAAGGCATAAAAAATTAGATTTAGTTTGCTTCAAAATTACGCCTAGAGGGCCGCTTGACGTGGAGAACAATGAGTGAGTGGGATGGTGTTAAGCAGTTACAATTTGGGGGATCAGGTCACTGTTTGCAGGCGGTAATAAAGAGCAGGGCAGCGGGCGGCGGGGCCCGCGGCTGCGAGATTAATGCAGCGGAAGCGGCTACGACCTCTCCAGGTGTTTCATTAAATTGCGCGCGGCGCCTCGGCCGGCGCGCACGGCCATTATGAAAGCTGCAAGCTCGAGGGCCATTCGCTTTAAGAACGGCCCCGCCACTTTGTAACGGCCTTAATGAATCTTGTTACTTATAGGCTCGCGTAAATTGCCTGTTTTACTAAGGCACTGAGTCACGCCAGGGCGAAGCGTGAGATTCGCGCGCGGCAAACAGGCAACGATAATGTTCCTGCAGATTTCACTTTGATCTTACTAAAGCTGCGCTGATGGCTCATATTTCTGTATGTGACTATTATAAATTAATATCATTTATTCTAAAGCCCAATATACTCTGCACGTAACGTAACCCAAGTTATCGGTACAATAATTTTAACATTGCTAACATAAAATGTAGTGAATCCACATGCACACGCTAATCGAGTCAACGGGTGACTCGCAATTAGCTCGTATCTACGTCTTATACGTCGTTAGATTGCGAACTAAATCAATTTATCCAGATCTTTAAGAGGTCGCTCGCATGTTGCCGAAGCGAGTGGCGGAACGAGCGTCGCCGTGCATGCCGTCCGCTAACCGGTTTAGCCAGCCCGTTGCAGTAAGTAATTAGTCTAGGCAGTGCGACGAAGCGCCGTGACGCTCCGTTCCGCCTCACAAAAACCACTTGCTCAATTCGGTCGTCGACGCGCGCGCTCCGTCATCGAGGCAGACCCATTCTTCGGCATTCGAAGCCAGTTATCTGCTATACTCGCGAACAACAATGGCTGCCTCTCGACAAAGGTTTCTGGGACGTTTCCGTAACGGTACGCCTTCGCTTTTGTGTCCAAGTTAATAGGAAGTGTTGCGATAGATATCGGTGCCCCGTTAGCGCGTCATTCCAGCGCGCTAATATCCTCGTACTGGTGTCGGGTTTGCGGGCCGCAAAAATAATAGATTGGACAATTGAAATATCCGCCATAAATCCGGTCCATAAATGGGGGCGGAGTGGTTGCGAACAATTTTGTATTTTTCAAATTAAAACACTCAATTTCATTATTATCATGCTCATCACGTTTCGCGATGGTATTTAAAAACTGGGTGAAACTTGAAGAACGTCTTACGCTTAAGACACCTGGTCAGGCATCAACTAGTCTTACTGAGGGGAGTAAGAAGCGATAACGACAAAGTAAGAGCCAAATATAAGGAGCCTTTAGTTAGTGCGATAAGAGAAGTTTAAGGGGAGTTTTCGGGTGCGGGTCGGACCGATAAATTGGGCGGCACTTAATTATGATCTCGGGCGGCATCTTGCAGGCGGCTAATGTCCCGGACTCGTTTAATGCGCGAACTTGTAGCCTCGGCTCCGGCGGGCGCGATAAATCCCCATCTACGCGCGACTCAACCCTCAGGTGCCGTCGTTGCGGCGCCGTCCGCCTCACACACGCCCCTCGCATTTCAGCTAACATCTCCACGCCAGAGTTTTGGCGATTGAAGAAATAGTCTTTCGACTATTACATGTGAAAAATCGAAAATGTATGACGTCCCAAGTTCTCGGAATGGGGCATTGAGATATCCATAATTAATTGGTTTAGAATACACACCGCTCTGCAGATTTACTTAACGAACACTAGTATTTCAGGTATCCTATAATTGGCGTATGCTGCGGTTGCCTTGGCGCGCCGTACCTCGCCAGCTAAATCGCTGAAACTTAGTTACCGTTTTCACATTAATCAATTTTCTTAACACATTCGCCGCGGTGATTTACGACGAAAGAACAAAGTTTGTTGGCATATTGTTGTTCTCCTACTGGTACACTAATCTTACAGTTTTAGTCTTCCTAACCTAATATGACATGTCACGAAAAATGTAAATTAATGTCAGAATAAAAATGAATTTTGCTGTTAAAATATACAAGTATTAAAATAAAAGCCTCACGTTTATTCCGCAGATTTTAAGTGGAATAGAAAGCGCGTGGCTCGCATTAATGGCGCCACATTTTGTGGAAAAAGCTTGGTCACTGTGACGTCAGCGTCGGGTAGACTATAGACGGTTTATTCTAGATTCCGCGCTGGCTTCTAGAACGTTCGTTACATGTGTATATGGGGCATGGTTTGTGCAGGGTACATTAGGTGTCGCAATGTTATTGCATCGTGTTAATGTGGAGGAAGTGAGGCGGGGAGGTGCGGCGCGGGGTCGCGCCACCGATAGGTATAATTAAAGCGGGCAAGACGTTGGCGAGACGTTACGCCGTCCTAACGACTTTTATGGCGTATGTAACATTGCTGGCACGTAAAATAAATGTGCCACCTCCAGTGCCCCGATATAACACTGTGTTCCCCAGATTAATCGCGCCAAATGTTTGCACTCACGCTATACGACTATTGCCTTTCACGGTCTCCAAATGTTAATGTACCTACAACGAGAATATAGAGAAAGTATTTACTGGTCTGGCTCGTTGCTGATGTTTACCTCTTCTATGTTTACGAGTTCTATTTGAAACTCTTAATTTATGAAAGAGACACTTTATAGAGATGAGAAAGAGAGGAATTCAACACACGTAATAAAGTTAAAGATAAAATCCCTCCAACATAGCCAGACCTCCTATTGTCCTTTCATCACGGATAATAATGGCTGGTGCATATTGCCATTATATAAATTAAAAACAAAAACAGCAGTTGTGGAACTTTAGCAATTCAATAAATTGTGAGTTGAACGATTCATTAGTCGCAATATTTCACTTCCGAAATGCGCGGTGTATTTGGGTGACAAAATGAGTGGCGGGCGCCGGGCGCGCTGACCGCGGCGGACCGCTCTGAGCCGTCATTTAAATCTTTATACGTTCACATTAGCTTTATGGGCGCCGGGGAGCTTTCTCCGGCGTTAGCGGCGCCTGAGTGCACTTTTATTGAGGATGAAATACCGTAATTGCCACTCGGCGCCAACCCGTGACTGACGAGTTTTGTATGTGTTAATTGTGCACCGACTCACACCTATCCGAAAATCGTGAAATATTCTTAGTAAAGTAAATAAATGATAATAATAAAAAAATATTTCAGAACATATTTTAACACAATGTTATCTAGACCCAAAATAAGTAAAGCTTATGGATAGGTAACTGATATACATACGTTAAATATATTTCTTGAGTAAATATAAACATATCATAGATATAAAAACACCTAGACACTAATAACATATGTTCATCACACAATGTTCTTCGAGTAGTGGGTATATATAATGTCTATATATTGTCCCACCGCTGGGCAATGACTTCACACGCAACACGCGACCCCATCTGCGAATTAAGAATTAAAAATAGGCATACAGGTTTCCTCATAACATTCCCACTGAGCGCGTGATAAGTCGGGAGTTAAAATAAACAATTTTATTGGTGTCGGCACCTGGATTCGAACTCGGGTGACTGAGCTATTACGGCTACCTATATAAAATGTAAGTACTGTACTTTGAATCAGACCATACAGTCTAATACAAAATACGGCTCGTACTTTTACGTACCGAGGTCCGAGCGATTGAATCGGAATTAAGGATGATAAATTGTTATACGGTGAGTGTATGCGAACAAAGACCGCGTGGGGGCACGAAAATATTCAAAACAATAACCGCCTCTCGATCTCAATACCCGAACAGCGGTAATCTTGACAAATGACGGTCTCTCGAGTGTGGCCGGCACCGCGGGCGCCAATAAACCGGCGCGGACACAGGAATAGGCATATTCGACGTTTTATTGAGTGGAGGAAATGCGAAGGAAATAAGTTTCCCGCGTCATTACGCTGAGCATCAATCAAAGAGCGAACAGCGGCGGGGCAAATTTGAAAAGTGTTACGGCGCGACCCGATTCGAACCCGACGACCGCCTTCCGCTTGCTACATTCTGTTAGTCACGATCGACCATTATAATTATCCTTGCTTGTATCCGGGCGTGAACTTAGCGTATGTACAGGGTAAGAAAGACCAACGTTCGTATCAGAAATATCAGTATCGATTGACGCGTAATCGAGAACTTTTTGATATTCGTAAAATAATAAATTAATAGAAATGGACATAGAACTGTCCAGCAACAGCTAGTTAGAATAGAAAATAAAACCAAGTCGGGGAGGTATTCAATTTCGGATCGCAATCAAGAGCAGACTGGAGTTTCTCAAAACATTCCGATTTAAGTTTCCATTTGAATGGCGAAACGAAGTCGAGATGCGAATCGCGCTCGTGGGCTCGCTCGCTGGTATAAGGGGCTGGGTAAATTATCGAATCCACTACGAAATTTAGTTTGAAGAAAGGGAGCCGCGGTGGCGAATGCACGATATCTGCATTGTGGCACGGCGTCGCGGCGCCGGCGGGTCTGGCGTCGCGGCGGCGGCGCATACATCAGGCACGCGACCACCCCCGCACCGCCGCACGCCTCCCCCTGCCCTCGCTCACCACCGCCCCCCTCCCGCCCCCTTTTTAGCAATTATCATCATTGAACTACCTACTTTGATATAGAATGAAGAGCTTGTTTTATGGTTAGTCTTCTTTTGTATTCCGCTATTCGCATTAATATGAAAGCCAACTTATACGCGAGCCAGGAGTGAAAACCTCAAACTACGCAATCCGTCGTAAATAATTGCCCAGATGTACTCCCCTGTTTATATAAGGGTCGCTGTTTCTTTAACCGATATTGAGACCACATAAATAATGAGTATTTTCTTTGAGTCGCGAGACTTAAAGAATAAGCGTTCTACAGATTTGTGCCGCTCCTACAGTTCTTTTTATAAATTTAAAATACATTGAGCCGATGATTTTGAATAAAAAATTTCTAATACAGACTTTTTAATTTGAAAGAAGTAATATAGGTCTTTACACATTTTTGGGAGATAACTACATTGTAAGGATTTTTTGCTTTTTGTTCTCATTTTACAAAAGCGCTACTCATCTTTACTGTTAAGGCTTCCAAGGCGGTTATTAACGGGCTAAGAGCTGCCACAAACGCGATAATCTAGACAATATCCTCTATAATAAACATGAAGCTGATAGGCTGATCAGATATCGCACTGTGAGCAGCTAAATGGGCAATAAAGGCAGGATTTTTGTGGGATTTGACAATCATTTTTAATAACGGGGTTATCACTCAGGCAGAACGTAAACTATAACATTCATAAATAATGTAATTACTTAGGTGTAAGATGTCGGACTAATCGAGCCTTAGTTATATTAGATTGGATGGAAAAAGAGTACAGTAATGTCTTGTGTCAGTTACACGTAACATTAATTATATTAATTTGTCGGATATGACAGCTCAGCTTAGAGATATCTCTTAGAAGGCTGAAGGTCAATAGTGAAATTTAATTAATTGTTATTACCACAATATAACCTGTACAAATACAAAATTTATTTGATGAGTAAAACCACGAGTTTTTCTGTTGATTTCGATACAAACGAATTGCACCATAGAATATAAAAAAGATCTTATGAAGATTAATTTGTTATCTAAATTAGTTTTATAAATTCAGAACTATAATACTTTCTCGTTATTTATAATCCCAATATTCAAATGATGTATCATATTTCAAGAAGAGTTAACGGATTTTAATTTCCAAAACGGAATTAAAAATGGAGAGAAATCAGACAATGAGGTAGAGAGGAATCAAAATTATAAGAATTCACTGAATGATTTTATGCGCAATATTTGCGAAGATAACGAGTCAACCTAGTCATTAGAAGGATTGGGAACAAACGGTTCCGTATTGTCGCGTCAATGTAATCAGCACGCGGGTACATTATCATGAGAATTATGTCTAGTACGAACCATTTGCATTTATGAATCATGCTTATTACAAGATGCACTAGACTGCGAACTCGCTTTTCTATTATTATTCGTGCGCTGTGAAACAATTCGAGTTTTGTTAATTAGTATGTATTGTCCGCGGCTTTGCTCGCGTGGGTTTAAGGACGCTTATTTTGTAGGAGGATCGGGAAACACGTTTCTCGTGCGGTGCGAGAGATTAAAACAATAATGTTGGGAGTTTGCTGCGGTGTATATTTTGAGATTATAGTATGAAGACTGGAAAACCATAAACCAAAATATCCAAGATTATACATTAAAATTGATAGCAGAAGTCTTCTTGGGTATTTTTTTTTATAAAATGAATGATCCATGGAATCAAGATATTAGATGGATATAAATCATTTTATTTTTATAAAAGTGTGTAGTGTATGTACGAAGTTCCGTTGGAAATATTTCAAAGCGTGTATCTACATGTCATATAGGAAATGATGAATTCCTTACGGGACACGGGATCATAATTTTATGTTTACATCCCAAATATCTCAAAAAAGGTTATAATCTGCTCATCTAGTGCTTATTTACTTCTAATTAATATTAACTATATTACTAAGGATAAATTCGGGATCTATGGGTTTGTTGCCATATGTCAATGCGTCGTCTTATAGCTAGGCTTTAACGGGGTTAGATGACTCCGTGGTGCAGTTCGATTCGACAACAATTGGTTTAAACCACAGATAATTGTTTCGGATTTGGGTGTTTGTCTACGTGAAATTTATGCATGCAAAACATCACTATATCAACACAGGATAACGTCATCTTACGGTTAGTGGGGTATTTTTGAAGGGAAGATTAAAATAGATCTTCTAAGTCGCAGTGGCCGTTGGGAGTTGCTACCCAACCCCTTCCACACAAAATACGAAAAAGCAAAAAATTATCGGGGCTATTACACCGGAGGCGGTGAGGCCTGACAAAGCGTCGCGGCAGTGTGGGTCAAGTGTCGAACTGGCGCTTTTAGACGCGTGCACGGCGGCTGTTCCACGTCGGCGGGCGAGCCGTGTGCCGTGCCTATTATCCTATGCAAATCCGGATTGCCCGAATAACGCGACGCGCCGCGGGCTACCTGCTATCGCGGCTATTAATAACGCGCCGCTACAAATGCGCACGGCCGGCCGGGCCGTTTAGATTGTTGGGGTGTACCTGCTCGTGAGTTACGTCGACCCGCTCCGCGCTCGGGACGCGCTCGGATTAGCAATCCGGCTCAATGAGCCGATATCGACTCGATCCCAAAACGCTGGGACGACTCTTGTTACGCACTTCCGATGGCTGCTCTTCCCGTTTTTCTGTGTCACTCGTTTCACACCGTTTACAGTACATTTATGTTATAAAGTAGGCCTTGTGTTTGATGGTTCTTTATAGGGTTGGCACGTGGGATTTAAATAAACGATCATTTAAAAGTTCGAGAAACGCCCAGAACGAATTTCTTCATTGTAGTTAATTACACGATTAAGATTCTTTATCAGCGGGTTTGAGCCAAAATAATTGCAAGCATATAAAACATTAAAAGAACGCTTCGTCGCTGTGATAATGATGGGTAATCGACTTAACGAGTACACGCATAATCAATTGACAGTAATCTAAAACAAATCAACGTCGGATAGCGTAATTTGCTCACAATCGCAAACCTGTTCGTATATTGCAAATGGATTTTAAAGTGTGATAAAAGGTCGGCAGTGGAAAAAACTTAGACGAGCCGCGTGACTGCGTGATAATGCAACCGTTTGTTATACAAACTGCCTTTAACTGTTATTCAAACAGTCGCGGCAACTATAACACGGCGCGTAACGTAACCTGTTCATGCAGATTGTATAGCATAGAACAGGTAAGCGAAATGAAGGGAATATAAGCGTAGGGTCAGAGGTTCGGGTCAGGTTAAACCGGGTCAGCCGTCAAAAATAAAGGGCGCGAATGAGAAAACCATCGCGTAATCCGCGTTCGGAATATAATTATTTCCACTAATTGTGTTCCCCGAAACGAGGTCAAGGGGCTAAACTCTCGCTATAAACTCTTTAAAGGACCTATTCGCAATGAACAAGATTAATAATGAAAGCTCGCTTAGAAAAACGTTATACTCCCGTAAAAATGTTCGTAAGAACGAACGCTTCGGTTTATCTGAAATGGGGAAAGTTAAAGGGGCGTGCTTATTTAAAGTAGCGATTTTTAAACAGCATAAGCGCAAAGGATTAAGCCGAGTGCCTGTTATAAGGTGCCCTCGAAACTTTTTCGACGACCGTACTGAATAATTGAATTAGGCGCCGTCGCGGCCAACTAGACGGGCAAATGCCCGACCTGCTCTTCCTGGGAAATTACATGAAGAAAACGTCAACAGAAGTGGTAGGAAACTTTAAATAGTACAAACGTTTTAATTAATTGGGCAAGGCACGCTGTCATGTGCAAGTGCACGACTAAAATAAATCAACCGATACCTACGTAAGCACAAAACTTTGCGAATGTTAAGCGCAAAATAAAAATAAACACGACCACTTACCGAAATATCGCAAAAACCGAACGGGAATATCGAGGATTAAATTTTAAAAAAACGAACGATCACATTTTAACTCGTCCGTCCAGGCGAGCAGTTGACTGGGGAATGGCCTGCAGCGACGTTCACCCACTGCTACAATTTAATTAAATACGGCTTCGGATTAACCCTGCACGGCTTCGCACAAACTATCCGCTTTCATATTTTCCATTTCCACATAAATACGTACGCGTAAATATAAATAATTAACTCCCATGTCAATCATCAACTCCCAATACTTACGCCGTGATTACTGTAATATCTACTGTGTAAGGTTTTAGCGTCACCACCAGATTTTTACCTGAAACAATATAAAATAACATCAGTGAGCCGTCGGATTTGTAACCGCGCAGTCAATTAAGTTAAACAATATCGCTAATAACAATACTGTCGGCTGAAGTGACGAATCAAAGTTGCTTCGGTGTAAAGTCAAGACTTTGATAATAGCGGGTTTGGTTGCGGGGGGCGTTAGGGGGAGGGGACAGGGGTTAGGAGAGGGAACGGCGATTGTTTCCGATGATAAACACCGGCCGCCCGGCGCGCCATCCAAGAGCCCGCGCTAATTAAACAACAACGGGGAAAATTAATTTTATTGTTTCAGTACTGCGCTTCTTTGTTACGGCGCCTACGGCGGACGGCTCGACGCGGTTACCTCGAAAAATATTTGACTGATGCCTCTTAAAGCCTTTCCGCGCGAAGGAATTGCGCCGCGGCGTGATTCATTTTTTTCAGCGGAAAAGCGTGTTCGCCACAAGGGCGGGTATTCGCGGTGACAGGCGGGAATAGACTGAGCGGAGAAATGTTTGACGCCTCGGCGGAAAGCTTCTAAGTGCAGCGGCGGGAATGGAATCGATGCCCAGTAAACATATTTGTGAAAAAAAAAGTGTGTGTGCACTTATGTACAACGCGTTAGAAGTTATACTTCTTTGGCGTAACAAGATAAAAATCTTTTCCAAAATTTTATCTTTTGCCTTATTCTACTTTTGTAAAAAAGACAACACTAACAAAAGAAAAAGGTATTTAATACATTTAAAGTTTTATTATAGCGCATTATCTAGCTATAAAGTTTATTATTTAAATTACTACTATTTACTATTTAAAT